ATCCTCCTGAACCAGAAAACAAGTGTGTGTTTGACATACAAGGCAATACCACCACCTTTTTTCCCAACCTTGTCTTTCTGAAACAGTGTAACCTTTTATGTTGACACTCCAGTCATAACAGCTGTCCCACCAGGTCTTGGTGATGTCAGTTGGATTGTAGCTCTCTTCACAGGCTGCAGCTTCCAGCTCATCTGGTTTATTTCCCATACTTCTTGCATTTATATACCTACATTGTTAGTGTCACCCTCTGGTCATTGTTTTATAATCCTAGCAGTATTTCTAAATATTTTTTTTTAAGTATAACTTTGTTAATTCCTGTCATGGTCATGTCATTTTTTGGCTCTGGTGAAGTTTATACACAAATGAAAGATGGCTTTTCATTACAGAATTTGACTTCTAAACGCTGCTGTTAAAAATTTAAAATAATTAAAAGATAAAGTGTAGAGTAGCTCTGTTTTGTAATTCCAGGTTTCAGGGTTAAGCAAAATAGTATACATTAAACAAAAACCAGAGTTTGGGAGCAGGGGAGATGTGGGCACTTTAATTTTAAGGCTTAGAAGGAGATGTGATCGTCTAAATTGTTGCATTTAGAATGTTCTAGGGAGAAATAATAGTGCAAGTGTATTTATCTTAGCGGAGGTCAAGCTATCAAATGGATATTTAAATATCAGAAATCTGCCAAACCTATTTTTGTGAAGTAAGAAATAGTGTTCTTGGCAAAGTGGACAGTGTTTTAATCACGACTACTAGTTCCTCAGAAAACTGGGGGTCCGGAAAAAATAAACTACTAATGTCGTAGCTATTGAATTTTGGAAAAAAAATGTGGTAACCCAATCCTTGGTCAACTTTTTGAGAAGAGAATTTAGGGTGGGGCTAAAGAGAATTTTTCCCCCTTTTTTTTTAATCTACCCTCTTCCTTCAGTTGTCTTTATTTTCCACATGGATGGATGGATGGATATACGCATGTATGCTCTCTTATGTACAAAGTCTACTTCCTGTTCTCCCAAAACAAACACATTCACGTTCAGGTTGCAAAGTCGAGCACTTGAAATATAGGAAATGCTACTTTTAAAGTTGCCTCTGCAACTTTCACTTGGATCTACTGTATTTTCATTGATAGAGAGGATTAAGATTTGAATTTGGCTCTGTTGACATATACCTGTCTTTAAAAGAACAACAAAAAAACCCAATGCTCATATTTCTACCACCAGTGCAATTGCAGTAAATATTCTCCGCCTAGAATATTTTAAATAACTTAGTAATAAAATCTCTGTGCCTATGCACACTTCTGATTTAGCCAACCGTAACTTGGGGTGGGAGCACTGACTTGGTCACCAACCCTGGGTGGCAATTCAAAGGGGCACCAGAATGGCAGCCCCCACTGAGTCTACATTACTTCTGCATCCTGTATTGGGGGAGCTTGTATTGAGGCTGTGGCAACCCATGCCATTGCTCCAGCCTGCAGAAGGAGGTTAAGCACCTCCCCCTTAGCAAAAGTTAAGGTTACTCTTCTGGATTTAGCCTCAGTGCATCACTGACTGTTGATGGATTTAGCTTAACTTGTCTTTGCTGCTGCACTGTGGTACCAGTGATGGAAGTTAAGGTTCACTAGGCTGTAATCCTAGTGAATACAAAGTAGTCTGTAGTTTTCACATTTTGATTTGAGGTAAACACCAGCGTTTCTGGACTTTTTTTAAAGTTTTTAGCTTGAGTTCTCCCATGTTAATGATTTTGTCATAAGGAGGGGAGGAATCCCTTCACCCCCCTTCCCCTTCCCCTCTTCCTACCACCAGAGATGCTGCAAGAATGGTGAATTATTTGTCCTAAATTTGCTAGTATGGACATAGCCAAAGGGATTAAAATTTAGGGTTGAGTCTGTGGGAATGTCTCCCTATCTGTGTATATATGAGTTTGTGTAAATATTTTGCAAGGCTGGGAGATTTAAGAAAATCCCAAAGAGTAAATAGCTCATTTAGCCAGTACTTAAACAAAAACCCACTAAGCTGCAATTTAAAACAACTTGTTGGAGTGCCTTGTTGTTGCTTGCAGGTTTTCTCCCTCTCCCCCTTTACCTTCTAAAAAAAGACGGGGGGGGGGGGGGGAGAAGGGGGGGGGGGTAGGAGTGGTTAGTGTAGAGACTATAAACGAGTTTATCACCTATTTTTTAAAAGCCTTTTATAGTTTGAGTTCATCTAAATGTTTTCATGTTAGGCCGCTAAAGTTGGGAGAAATGTGTTGGTTTAAGCTACCCTACATGGTTAACACGTTTTCTTTTATTAATAAGCGTCCCAAACACCACATGGAAAATGATATATGTTTGAAGAAGATCTTTCTCTAGGTTCCCAACTGCCCTCAGGGTGGAACTATAAGGGAGGCTATTTTTTTCTTAGTGTAGAAAGGCATTTTGCTACTGCAAATATGCTAGTAAAGTTAAAGAAGGTGAAGTGCTGGTTTGAATACAATTATAATGGTGTAACAGTGCTTTATACCCTATACTTATTTTGTTTTCCAGACTAGAATAAGATAAGCTAGTATAAGCACTCATCTAGTAGCAAGGCTGCTAATTTGAGGAGTGCTGTATTGACTAGGGAATAGTAAACGTTACCTATATTTAAAAAAAAAAAAAAAAAAAAGCTTAAGTGATGACATGCCCATTAACTTGACCTCAGTACTATGCAGATTTTTAGAACAGATTTTAAAGGAAAACATAATCAAGGACATAGGAATAAATGGAAAATGGGATAAAATGCAACACGGTTTTATCAAAAGTAGTTTGTGTCAGACTAACCTAGTATCTTTGATAAGATAGCAAACTTTGTAGATGAGAAAAATGCAGTGGGCTTGGTCTACCTAGTTTTAATCAAAGCTTTTGATAGGGTCTCTTTCAGGAAATTATTTTTAAGGTGGAGAGTTAGAGGTTAATACAAGAACTGTAAGGTAGATATGAGTTAACTACCCAGTGTAACTCAGTGTAGTCTCCACTGTAGCTATCGGGATACAGAAAAGTTACTAGAGGTTTCCTCAGGGATTGATGTTGTGACCAATCCTGTTTAAAATTTTCATTAAGCACCTTAGTGCAGAAACTACATGTGTGCTAATGAAATTTTTTGGATGACAAGTTGGGGGGTGTTGCCAACACTGAGTAGGACTTGATTTTCTTCTAGGAAGAATTAGATGACCTTCTGGTGTGGAATAGTACAAATAAATAACTTTGCAATTGTAGTCTTATTTCATTTTATTTAGAGACTAATAAGAAATTTTGTTATAAGTAGAAACTACTAGGTTGAACAACTAGAGGTGACAGAAGAACGGGGTTTGGGGTTTATTGAATTAGCATGAGCTGTAAAAAGGATAATGTGCTTCTAGGATGCATCAGGGTAGATATTATTCCAGTGAAGTATTGGTACCATTGTATAAGCATCAAAAAGGGCATCATTTAGAATATTGTATATGTTTCTGGTTGCTGATGTTCAAAAAAGATTCACTTAATTGGTGCAGAGAAGGGCTGATATGATGATTGGGGGAATGACAACTGAAGTAAATTAAAGTATAATTCTAGTACAGGGTAATACAGATGTAAATTGATCATGAATGCATTTGGATTGGAAATTTGAAGCGGAGCAACATTTTTGGAACTACCTTACAAACAGGGTAGTCAGGGGCAAGGTATAAAATTTGTTTCAAGCTGGAACTTGATAAGTTCATGAAAAGAATTGTATGACAGGGTAGGAGGTGAAAATTTGCTGGTAGTATGAGGCTTTGGGTTGTTTGATTTCTTGATGTCTCCATGAGGAGGTTGAAAGAGATGTGATTTTCTTAAGTAGCTGCTTTCATGTGAACGGATTTGGGAGCTATCTGGTTTGGGGCTCTTGACCCTGCTGATACTGCATGGCAGTATCCAATGGCAGTGGATAATGCTAGAGAGTTTGGTCTCAAGGTGAGATGCAGTTTCCTGAGAGAAAAGGGCTTTCAATATTCATGAGGTTTTTAGCAATGGGAATAGTAGCATTGGCTTAGCTAGGACTCCTTGAGGCAGGGTTCTTTTCAATCACATGCTTTAGCTGAGATTATACAGATTCTGTAGTCTGTGTACACATAAGGAAGGTTAGTTTCAGGTAGCTGTAAAACGTGTGGCCAACCTGCAACATGGGTGCCATAGATGGCCTCTCTGTGTGACACTTGACAGACTGGGGAGGCAGCACAGTGGCAGATGAGGCAGGGAACAGAAAGCAGAGCATCAGGTCAAGCAGAGAGCACATAGCAAGGAGGAGAAAAAGCAGCAGTTTGCCCAGGGAGCATAGGGCAGGAAGCAGAAAGTAGAGCAGCACATCAGGTAAGGGAACAAGACTGGGTGACACTTGGGGAGGTTGTGGGGCTAATGTGTGACACACTCACCAAAAATCTTGCTCACATTTTTGTAAAGAATCTTTTTGGATCAGGCTCTGTCCTTACTTCATCCCTGCCCCTTGATCTCCATGTGCTTACAGTGTATATCGCATTTTTATCCTTCAGGTTTTTTTGTCGGAGCCAGGCAAGAATTTTCCTCCTCATGTTGCACATTTCTTCTGTAGGTTTTCTACCTTCTTCCAAAGCATCAGAGATTGACTAGTTAGAAGTGGGATTTTCCGTGGTATGCATGAATACCTGTACTGGTATTGAATAATAAGGTCATTCACAATACCTTTTATACTCTTACCTGTCATTAGGAGGGAAGTCCACTGCTAACAGTTCCTGCTGGTTGGGTTGCATTAGGG